TTGTATTTTGAGCTACTTTTCTAACTAGTTAGATAAAACAATCTGGTCACAAAGAATTATTGATTATAGTCTCTGGATAAAACAAAATACTATTCAGTCAGTCAGTCAGATGCAACGTAGAACTTCGTACGTAAGTACATCAGTTCATGTTGCCATACCACATTAGTACAGAGATGTAATTGTCAATTCAAATTCAATAGTAGTAGAGGAAGTAAAGGTATTAGAAGTAATCGGAGAGGTTAGGATTAGAAAATATTATTCAAGAAGTATGATTCAGTGAGAAAATTTTAGAAAGGCAAAACTAGAGGGGTTGAAGAATCCAGAAGATTAGGATTTGAGAGAACACAAAGAATAAATGAACCGGCGCCATTGCGAACGATTTTGAGCCATGTCATTCAAGGTCTCTAACCATCGAATATTATCATCTCGCTGACCCCAACCAGGTTGTCGACAATTACCGACATGTCTCAGTCCACTCGTCAATGACTTCATGGATTTATGCCATGTTTTGGTTTGGCCGCCCCTAGCTTTCTTCCAACCTACTCCTACACTACAAAACAAAGCTCGTCGAGGTAGTCGGTGGTTAGGCATACGCAGCCCATGTCCCAACCACCTCAACTGATGAAGTTTCATTACTTTATCTATTGATCTGCCATTCTTACCTAGCACCTGTTTCCTAATAACAGCTTTGCTCACTCGGTTGTCCCACAATATACGAGCAATGCTTCGAAGACACCAATGATCGAAAACCAGTGACCTACGAATATCTTCAACTCTCACTGGCCATGTTTCACAGCCATAAAGTAAGACGGAGTGAAGTCATTCCTATTTCAGAATCATCAAGTATTCTACAAGCTATCTATTTGACTTATCGAATGTATAAAAAACAATATATGTAGTTGGAAAATTGATGACAAAATTGTATGAATCATTCCTGGTATACTAATTGACATTATCAAGTAGTTTCATCTCTTTTAGTCATAATTCGTTATAAATCATACCTGAATCACTGATATTAAATTAATCTATTTTAATAATCGATCGACAGGTCTCACAACTCTGTCTTAAGTCTTTCTAAAGATGAGGCTGTCCCAAAGGTTGATTGAGAGGTCGATGTTTTTACTTCGCAAAAAAGAAAACTAGAAAATTGCTACCACAAAAAGTCGATTGAATTCTGCTCTGAGGGTTGAGAAATTTCCCTGTAGAGGAGTTATACCGCCTCTTGGTAAATTCCAAAATCCTTAAGTGTGACATCCATTTTGAAAACCAGAGCAAAAGCAAACACAGAGACATGAAATATCTGAACGACAGCGGGAGGACAATTTAAATAGTGACGGAGCTTAGGGGAGACGACAAGGTTGGTGCTTGGAATAAGTCAAACCCATTGGATACGACCTGGAATGATAAGACTAACTTCGGCAGATATACTGTTGCATTCTGGTCATCGAGTTGAAATTGCCTCACAAATACATGAAATTGCACATATGCCATTCAAAGAAGCACGAAGAACGTTTATGGGAATGAAAAATAAGGGTTATCAAAGAGAAAAGTGTCACAATGAATGTCAACCAGTGCGATGCGCCTACCAACGATACAAGCGATGATAAGAATCGTTTTCATGCGAAGCTGACGTTTATCGAACAATGAAATTCCGGAAAGGACCTGAAGGTCGGATACAGCTGTGTGGATTTTACAATGAAAATGACTTAGCCCTTCCATTCCGGATATAGCGACAAATGCAGACGAAGACATCCGGTGTAATAGTGGCTTATATAACAGTAGGTCTCAACATACACAAGGGAAAGGCAAGATCCCTACTTACAACACACTGGATACCGGTGGGATTGCACTTCACGGGAAGGTCTGGAAATACATACTCGGGCAGCGTCATTGATAAACAAAGTGGATCTGATGCAGATGCGAACATATCGATTAGCAAAGAAAGAGTAGCATCACTACAAATGAAAAATATCCGGAACTTAAAACAACTGTCAACCAACACCAGAGTTACAATTTTCAAGACAAACGTCAAAAAAGTTCTATTGCGTGGAGCGAACACTTCGAGAACTACCAAAGACATCATCCACAGGATATACGTGTTTATTAACAGTTGTCGCGGATCCGTCGGCCATACACCATCAGCAATAAGCTATTGTGGCAGAGACCGAACAAGCTTCCAAATGAAGAGGAAACTAGGAAAATATACTGAGGTGGATAGGACACACGTCGCAAAACGCAACCAACCGCGACACCATACAAATCCTCACTTGATATGCTCAAGTTAGAGCGGCAGACCAGGGAACATGTTGCGCTATGATCCGGAGACAAATATCAAAAGAATGAATAGCAATTAAACAGAACTGAGGAGGCAAGCTAACAGGACTAATTAAGTCAATATCGAAAATTGGTTTGCTTATATATCCATAATTATTGCACTACGATGGTCAAAATCGAGCACCATCATTCTGGATAACGTCAGAGCACAAGTCATAAAGAATTCCTCCAGTTGAACCTTCGAACTTACAAAACACCACAATATCAGAAACATCCATCTCAGATGCACATCAACGTCATCTCCAAAAACCATCACCTTTATGTTCAACTAGTACGGAAATATCTCAAGCATCACTTCGAATGCATTCATTTTTTGACAGACCAGTTTCGATAATCTCATCTAGTTATTTCCTGTGAATTACATTCAGATAGGGTTTAGATGCCCACAGTCAACTTCCATCTGGTCGAAACATTATTACGATAATTAAATGTATGATTTATTGTTACTACGTATACATTCCGTTAACTAATCACGTCGATAATAAAAGCCGTATATTAATTGCTTGATGATACCCATGTTTCCTAATAATCCTCAACAACAGACAAACGACTACAAGATGTAACGATGGTGTGAAGTTCCATGGATGAGCTAACCAAACACTTTATCTCGATAAAATCTGCACATAGAACTAACAAGTTATGCATATGGTGGTGAACAGACATTTAGAAACTTGCATACTCAGAAAGCGTTATCTTATCGGATACCAATCACCCACCAACCCACTCTGTTCACATCTTCCTCCTTATATATCTCTTCCTAGTAGAACAAAACACAAATACATAGAATCCAAGCGTGCGCGCACACAAAAGCAAAACTATAAGGACATTATGATACCTTATTTATCGAATACACTGTGCAACGAACAGGTGATAAGGGTTAATCTAGTCAAAAACTTATGTTCCTAATACAATATTTTACAGATTCTCATCATCTTAAAAAAGCATTTCGTTCAAATTCTGAATAGTTTTTTCACCTAGTTCTTAGAGTAAGCGTATGCAGTTATTGTTCCATTGTGTACAAGAAACTTGTCAAAATGTCCCATACTGAGAAATCCTTTTTGCGATAAATGTACAACACTGAAAAACGCACCTACATATATATACACCATCGTTCCTACATATATATCATGGCTGTAACTAATTAAAACTCATCTCTTATCACGTTGGGCACTACTACCAAATTGTTTCAATAATCACTGAAAAATCACAATTAAACCGAAATGGATCACCTTTAGTGCTTGCTTGATTAGCAACAAGTGACAGTAACAAGGGAAATATAATTCATACTCGGATTGTATAATCCCAGTGTTGTTAGCAAGACCATGAAATTAAAATCTGCACACAAGCATACATATATAATACGATAGAATCAAGTCAGCTTAATTAATTAATAGAACTGTTACAATCATTTGTACCTTTAATAGAATCTAATAGAATCAATCAATCCCCTTAAACAACAAATCAGACTATTTCACATCATTATAAATGATATGGAAGACAAACCAATTATCCAAATAATCTGAATGTTGCAAAAATCAACATATATCTGCTTACAGAGAAACGATAAAGGTACTACTACTACTAATTGACAGATAGTATAGGACGGGATGGGGGTGAACGGAGGGGGGGCGAAAGAAGAGGTATACATGTTTTAATAAATTATTAAGCTTTAAAAATGAAAAAAAAACAAAAATAAAAAGGTGAACGGAGTCATAGTAGGTGTAATAATTAATAATAATAATAATAATAGTAATAATAAATGGTGTTATAATTCTGCATCCTCAAAATTATTGTCTCTCAACGTTACTAACAGAAAATAAAAGAAATTTATTTTTTCAAAAAGAAAAGAGAACAAACAAAAAAGGAGACAAAAAAACGAAAACGTAAACAAAACAAAAACGAATACAACTCAAAACTATCAAACAACAGGTTATCCAATTCATACACACACACACATACATTTTTTTACTCATGATATTACAACAACACTCTATCATCAATTAGGATTTATAATTAAAAATGAAATGAAATGAAGAGAAAAAAAAATGATACAAAGTTTAAACTATCTATCTAGTTAAACAAGAACTAAGAGAAAACATTTGCTTGCTTTATTCATATTGGGAAAAGTGTGTATAGTTGAAATGTTCATTTTCATACAATAAGAATTAAGGGGCCAAATATATATGTATATATAACATACAAGTCATATATCTTCTATCTGAGAATAGTTTACAAGCAAACATAACATGCTCAATCATGCAAACCATATATAATTCATGTAAAGGCATTACACAAAACCAATATGAAATACTGGGGAAAAATATATAAAGAGAGGAACTTATTTGCGCCTCATTGATGAAGATGATAACAAATCTGTTCCTTTTGTATTGTTGTACAATTAATTAGTCAAGAAGTAGATAATGAATAATAAATAATGGATTATAAGGAATGTAACTTCACTATTGAATGCTTTTTGCAAAATATTCTCACAAGTAGTTTCGATTTAACAAGTCAAGTTAATAACAGGAAGAAATCAAGCTTCGTACATGATATAACCTTAAAGTAAATCTATGAAGGATTTCTTTTTTTTTACATAAACTTCAATCCTCTGACATTTAAATATGTCGTATAAAATTTTACGGAACCTATACATATATATATATATATATATATATATATATATATATATGTAGAGAGAGAAATAGTGAATGTGACACCGACATCCAACACAGCAATACCAGATGGTACTATAGGTAAAAAAAGGCATACTTAAAAATAGGTGTAAACTTGTGCATCAGGTCGATTTTCGATTAAAACAGCGCCATTGTTCTAAGAGAAAATTAACTAATTGGTCTCTTGATTCATCTTTGGGTGAATACAGTTTCTGTTCACATTGAACACTCACTGCAACAGTTGCCCAAGATGTTTGTGGTTTTTTGGAATTTTCTCGGACTGAATCAGATTGTGGATTCGGCTCATTAGGCATGGGATTAGGAGAGTCATTTGTTTGTACAGGAGGTGAATCTCCCATTGCAGGGCCTAAAATGCGACTCCGTGAGAAATTGTTTTGATGAGGTCGACCAAGGTGATTTACAGGTCCATTGTAACGGTGAAACTGACTGGAACCACGAGGTGCGAAATGCTGTTGATGTGATCTTCGCAAGCTGCCATTATTAGCAGGACGTCGCCACTGATCGCCAGGACCATTTTGATATCCAGCAGGGATTGTCCCAGACTGAGGTGACATATTTACATTATACCGACCCATTGTAGGTCGGGTTCTTGTGTTGGCTCCGCCAACAGTAACAGGTGAGGCGTTTGAACGCTGACTGTTGACATCGTCTGACTCAGTGGCTTGAGTAGATGACTTAAATGAACGTGAAGATTTATGTGGATATCGAGGGAAAGTCCTATTATCACCATACTCATGTTCATTCGGCAGATCCGAAGAAACAGATGGGGCTGGAGAAGACGAATTAGATGCTGCAGGTTTAGCTGGTTCTGTGTTAGGTGTTGGTACATTTTTGTTGTTTGAATGTAAAGATCTCTCATACTTAAAGCGTGAAGTAGCTGAATTTGAAGTGTTTATTTCACTTGGGTTACGCATACTTAGTCCATCAATTGAATTACCATTAACAGTGGAACGTTGTATATCCATATTTTCTTTTGCATTTCGACTATTGCTATAACGAGAAGGATCAGGATGGCCGTTTTGAAGTCCTCTGAGTTTCTTTCTCTGTGCTTGCCTTATGTTAGAAGGACGCACTGGAGTCCAATGTTGACAAGATCGCTGACCAGATTCGGACTCAGCATTTTCGCCACAGCAACATGAGCATTCAACTCTATTATCAAAATCAGTAATACATTTCCCAGGATTGACATCGGTGTTTGAATGGAACGTCATAGCAGTACTGTTGTCTTCATTAACTGCATTTGTATATTCCATACCTACGAAAGATATTAATAGTTAGGTTGAATAATTCACAATTTCAATTGGTAAGCTTGTAGGAACTTAACAGAAATGCATCAAAGATAAATGAACTCTTTGTAGATAAATCTGAGGCAGCTAAATAGTGGATTAAACCAAATGTAACTCAAGTAATACAGGTTTTATTCGTACTAGTAACAAGCCACTGTAAGCCTGAGAAGTTTTGACTGATTTTAATGTGTAAAAACACTAATCTCCATAACTCTAATTGAAAAAAATCGTAAAATGTGCTCATTAGTGACTAGTTTCATGAGGAAATTCTTGGAGTTCTAGTGAGATGTGACCAGGGAATTTCAACCCTGTCGGTTGTAAGCAGTAACTATCGAACACAAATGGGTGAGGTCGTGCAAAATATCTAGATTGATCAGAGCTATACACTAACACCGTTGGATGGCAGCCGGCCCAGTGGTCTACAGGTTAGGCGTTCACGCACAAGACCGGAGATCCTAGGTTCCAATCCTGCAGGGTGAAAGAGTCGCGGATGAGCACTGCTGGTGAGTCCCACATCAGGACAAAATTACATTCCAGTGCTTGCAGGTTTCTAATGGTGGTCTAACAATGATTGATGATTTCAATGTGTGAAAATAGTTACTTCATGTAAACGTTTATGAACAGCATAAAAATATGTTAAAACATAATAAACAGTCTGTGAGCAGTGTCTATGAAATGTGGATTATTAATAATTTTGAGTTAGAATAGTCAAATGACAAAGATTGTTTTGAACAAAGTGGCTGCACAAAAACTGAAATCTATTGTCCCAAATTAACGCAAAATAAACACGTAGAATAAAAAACAGGAACAACTACGGAAGTACGGACATATTTTACTACTAGGTGGCTTAAGTATTGTCTAAAGATCAATTCTATTGGAGGCTGTGTTCAGTTGTCGAGAAACGCCCAGCGAAGGGGTGTAAGCCCTGCTGCTGCTTCCCGTGGCCTCGTTGGTGTAGATATGGCATTAAGTCCTAAGGCAAAACTAGCTCTCTTAGACCGGATCCCAGTAGGGAGTCGCCTATGCGTCGTCCGACCAAACGGGACAGCAACAACTCTTAAAGATAAGAACACTCGCCGTTGCTACTTCGTTGTCTTCGCTTACGCTCTTAACCTGGCGACCTCCAAAGTCGTCTCAACGTTGGACCCAACTAGATCACATTGCCATCAGCAACCGATGGAGGGGTTCGATAGAGGACTGCCGCTCGCTCTGGGGTACATGTTTAAATTCAGATCATGCCCTAGTGCGAGCGCGTATTTGTTTGCATCTTACTGGATATACGAAAGACACCGCGAGGAAAACCCCTTAGGGTTCTACATAATGATGGCAAAGCTAAGAATATATTTCTGGATCAACTAGAAAAACAGTTAGGCAACCATGTAACTGATACCCTCCCCGGGGAGCTTGTAAAGATATCAAAAAGGCTGTGGAAACAGTAGTGATATCCGCTAGTAAGGTATACCATAAGGTCAGTCAAAAGCAATCGGTCTTAGTAACATCTAATGAACTGATAGATACTCAGAAACAAATCCCATCTGACTCTGAACATGACAAAGAGCGGAGTCAGCTTAAACGCAGGCTGATAAGAGGCTAACTCAATGATCGCTAACAGTGGTGGTTAGCGAGAGCAAGGAAGATGGAGAAGGCAGCGGCGATGGGTAACTGTAGACAACTGTTTAGTCCTATCAACAAAACTGACATTAGGAATCAGACTGTAAATGAGACTACCTCGGATTGGCTTATTAGTCATTCTCAATCCAGCAAATTGGATCAATGGGCAGAACACTTTAGGGATTAGTTCAACTGGCCTCCAGCCACACTTCAATTACCCACAATCTCCAGTCAACCTGAATGGCTAGTTGATGCAAATCCTCCAACTCATATTCAAGTTGAAAAGGCAAACGCATAAACAAAGCTACATGGGTTTTAACGGACCACAGTACACAGAACTAAATCAATCACATCACACACCATGGAGGACGCAAGGACAAAGAGAGGAGCTGACAATAGATCTAGATCATCACTTGGTGGTGGCCAAGATGAAACTGAAACTCAAGGAGCACTGGGTAACCGAGCGAACAGCATCATATGACTTCCATACGGCCCTTCTTAGAGATACTGGAAAACTTAGTGAATTCGAGATAGCTCTCAACAACAAGTTCCAGGTATCTCACGATCTGCTCAATGGAGAGGAAACTACCATGGGGAAGAACTGGAAACAGATCAAACAAGGAATAACTTCAACATATCATGAAGTTTTCAGCCACAAGAAGCATCGTCACAAAGAATGGATCCCTACTGGTACTCTGGATAAGATTCAAGGGAGGAAGAACAGGAAGGCAGCAATCATGCTCCAGTACGAGTGCGTTTGTCCGCAGCTTACTGGACGTAAGAAAGACATGGCGAGAAAATGTCTTAGTGTTCTACTCAACGATAAAGAGGTCAGGAGCATACTTTGAGAGCAACTAGAAAGAGATAGATAGCCATCCAAGTGATGCCCATTCTGAGACAGCTTGGAATGACACGCGGAAAGCTACAGAAACAGCAGTGATATTTGCCAGAACGGCAAACCAAAAGGTCAGGGAGAAGCAAAGGATTTGGGTAGCAAGTACTGAACAGATAGATGTTCGGAAACTCATCCGATTGGGCTCAATCAATAACTGCTAGTAGATGAAGTCTACCATGTTAGGGTGGGCGAGACAAAACTAATCGGTGTTTAGTGACCTTGGATGACATGGCTAAAAATCGTTTGCAGTGGCATAGATGCAACCATTCGTTTTCTCCTCTCAAATTCTTAATCTTCTGATTTCAAGACCTTTTTTAACATTTATTTCACTGGATTATACTCCTTGAATAATATCTTCGAACCGTAATCTTCTCCATTACTCCTAATACTTCTACTGCTATGGGATTTGAATTGACAACTCCATCTCTCTGTGCTAATGTGGTACGGCAACTTGGACTGGTGCGCGTGCGTACGTCCGTACCCAGTTCTACGTTGGTAACTGACTGGAACAATAGGAGAATGTGAGTGATGAGTACTTTCAAATAACAATAGAACGCTTAGTATCGGAAACGGCTTTGCATACGTGAAAGCTTTGATGAAAAACATCTAACAGAAGTTTTTCATCTACTTCCTTGTTACGAATCTACTATACATGGAAAGATGCCATTAAAATCACTTTAACGGTAAATCCCTAAGAGTCTATCACTTATAAGAAACCATAAAATCACTAAAGGA